CGCCCGGCTCTGGCGTTCAGTCTTCAGTGCTTGGGGGAGAAATTAGAAGGAAAATGCGAAAACGTATAAAATGTCCGTACCTATCTGAATATTTTTAATGTCTTATTGATTAGAGTATAGGTAATCAGAAAGGGTAGGCATAAATATTTTTTCAAAATAAGACTCACGTTACCCCACCGCCCACTTGTCTCACAATTCATTGGGTATACCTAACCTAATTGGTTGTTCTATAGGTTCATTAATATTTTATAATTTATTCTAAATAAAAGTTACACATTTTATGTATTTTATTTACAATTAAATAGTTATAACATTTGTGTGGTCAATGTTCATAAACATGTATGAAAATTGTATCAATGATTCACACTCAGTATTAATATTTAATTAGATAAAAAACGTATATACAATTTAAATATTATCATTGTGTACATTGTGAAATTAGGCAGTAGTTTGACATTTTGAATTTATATATTTTAATATTTAGCTAAAAAAATATTATACCTTCCACCTACGTCTATTTGTAAGTAGATATTTAGTAGATAATTTAAAAGAGTATAACTTTAGCATTTTGTTATTTTAGAGCGAGTTCTTTCAAGATTTTATGTCATGTACGCTTGATAAAATTTAAACTCATCTTCTTGATGATAATAAATATATAAATTAAATAAGTAATTCTCAAGATGTGTGTAAATTCAAAACAATAATTTAGGTTAGAAAAAAAAAGTATTTATTAGAACACTTAACAATGTCTTAATTATATTTTAAATTACACCTTACAAGTTTGATCAGCAGTTAATAAAAAGGTTGTACATTTGTATGATTCAATAAAATTATATGTAATAAAACACAACCTGATTAACATACGGGCAACTAAAAGTGTATTTTATAGGTACTTAAAAAGTCAAAAGTTGGTGGAAAATATGATTAAAAAGTACAAAATAATAGAATGTAAATTAATGAATATGTAATAATAAACATAGCTTAAAAATAAATAATTTTTGACCAACAAATTGCTTTTTCAAGTTCAAAATAATCTGATGGTACAAAAAAAAGAACATTAAAGCTGTTTTCTAATTAATTTAATTACAATTTTGATACAACCAGTGGTGTATTGGAGGGTATACGCCGGTATACGTCGTATACCAGGACCCCTATTTTTGAATTTATGCGTATACCTTTAAAAAAATTAGTCTTTTATGGGTATACTCACGCTTCCAATTTATGGCAGACAATTCAGTCATAATATCACCAAACAAAAGTTTAAAAAAAAAATAATAATAATAAACAAATGAATACAGTAATATTTTATTATGGCATTAAGTACACTGTCCAAAAATAGCCCCGTACCCGCATGAAGTTCGATTAAATTTTACCCGACTTCTGGTTCTTGCGAAGATGATCGGAAACTGCCGTTAAAATGATTTATAATAATATTTAAATTTTGATATGTTATTGACATAGATTAATAGATAATATAGATTAATAAATATTGTATATTATCTAAAGTTGTTTATTATTTTATTAGTATAGTCCATTATACTGAACAGTTTTTTTAAGTTTGATAACAAAAAGTTGTATTGATGAATTGAATTAGTAAAAAAAAAAATACGTTAATACGGATACTTGGTACATAATATTACACCCAGTTTCGTAAATAGGAAATTAATTTCGGGGTGGGGGCGAATATAGGGTGAACCCCCCTATATACGCCGCTGCATAAACATAATACATATACACATGAAAGCTTAGTGTTTGTAATAAAGAAATAAAAGATTATTAAATATTAAGTGTAATGATTTTTCTAGCTGAGCGAGAAAATTTTTTAAAGAAGTTATATATAGATATATAATATATATATATATATATATAGGTATATTCAACAACTTTTAGGTGCGTATACCCATACATTTATTTAGCAATACACCACTGGATACAACATAATATGAAAAATTAGTAAACACAATTATTAGTACAAAATTTAATCTATAGTAATTATAGACCTCAATATAATATAATGATAACATAATATCTATGTACTTAATAATAAATAAATACTATAATATAATCATTTTATATTACCCTTAATTTTTTTTAGAACAAATTTTACTTCATTAGATGTTAAAAATAATAATATACTTTAATAAGTTAATTTTAAAAACTTAAAATTTAGACTGTTTTTAATAATTTTTTAATGTATGGTTTCCTAACTTTTAATTTGGTTTTGAGAATATTTGCATTCAAATTCAATGCATAAGAAATCGTAAGATTAAAAAAAAAAAACAAATTAATAAAAAAAATTTGTACAAAGTTAAGTTATTTATAATTAAGGTTGGGATTTTAATACCCTAAGAAATCCAAAAAACGCTTTTACGCCCAAAAAATTCTGAATAATGTACCCCATTTATTATAAATTTTTTTTAATAATTACATATAAATGAAAATGCACATTTATAGGATTGTAAAAAAGTTTTACAGTTAGAACTGATGGTTGGGACTTCTATAATCTGAAAAAACAACTATTTCCATAAATTATTATTTATAGGTTTAGATTATTTATTTATTTACTTGTACTTAACTATAGTTTTTTAAATGTATATAAAAATCATGTAAAATCATGTGATTTGAAAATATCTTAAAATACAAATTTTGGATTCAAAAACTTCAAAAATTCTAAAATACTATAAAAAATGATCTTAAAATGTATAATTAACAAAAAATTCAAAATTATTATTTTATTAACAACATGTCATTGTGCATATCTAAATTGTGTACCAACTACATCATCTACTGATGTCCCGGGATTTTAATCCCTTAAAATGTGTTGGAACTTATTATCCCAAGTCTTAATACAATCAAAAACATAAAAAAAAAGGAATATTAAATTGTATTATTTGATTTAAACACAGTAAAAACCCTACAACACCAATATATTATACTAAAATATTTTAAACAATTAAAATTAACATACAAACCTTAAATGTTTAGAATGCCTGTAATAAGAATCTATCTATTTTTAGTTGTACAAATATAGGTGGTTGGGTGGTGAAACATTCAAACATAGTAGTAAATTCATTATTTATCCATTATAGTTTAACAAACTATTTGAACAAAAATTGAGATGATAATTGCGTTTAGACATATTTTGAAATTATGTGTAAGCATAATACCAAACTTTGTGTTTAAAAACAAATACTTTAGAACTTTGGAGAATTGTTAAGATTTTTATCAGTTATAAATGTACCCGAAACACGACAAAACAAATAACAACAATAGTTACTGGATAGCCAATAAAATTATTAATACAATTTAAATACAAAAAAAAAAAAACACAATAGGTATAATATCCTAGGAACAAGTTGTTTTCATACCAATGCTCTTAAACATAAATTTTTTCGTACAATACGAATCCATTAGTAAGCTAGTTACTTAATGGACTTCTAAAATTAAAACTATTAAAAAAAAAGTATTGTAACTTTTTAACAACAGATATTATTTAGTCTAATCATTATAAAGTATAATAATTCATTCATAATTTATTATGGTTAATAATCGCACATAATTTTAAGTCTGTTATACTTATACACACAGAAAAGTTGAATCATCAGAAATATTTCCATGGTGAAAATCTCATAACAACTACTGTTAATATATTTTTTTTATTAAATATATATCAGTTTTATTTTTATCATTCTCTGGGACATGCACAAAGACAAACCTTTACCTACAACTGGATTTTAAGTTTTAACTCGGAAATACATTTTTTTTTTATAATATTATATTTTATGTACAAATACAGAGAGTTGGGTTCAGCAGGTGCAGGCACTTACGGTACTGTTATGAAGTGTCTTGATGTGATAAACGGGCAGTCGGTGGCGGTGAAGAGGTTGCGAGATACGATGACTGGATGCGAAGGTGCCCACGACCAGAGACACTGCGAGATGATGGTGCGCGAGATTTGTCTTTTGAGGGCACTCAATGACGATCATGTGGTACCAATGATTGAAGCATTCAGGCACCATGGTCACGTTCATATGGTGTTCCCGTTGATGCGGTACAACCTTTACAGATATTTGGAGCTAAACGGCGGATCTTTAACAGTAAACGCCACCAAAGAATGTATATACCAAGTAAGTATATTTCCACGAAACTACATTATTAACCTAAATTGATGTGTCCTGACCTTGGAAAAAATGTTAAAGGTATTGAGAGGACTTAACTATGTACATAGTCAGAATGTTGTACACCGCGATATCAAGCCAGAAAATATTTTGCTTTCAGCCAATGGCATAATCAAGATCTGTGACTTTGGGGTGTCCCGCATGTTTAGCAAAGACCGAACATTGGACCTCAGCACTGGGATGGGTACTGTCTGGTACCAGGCCCCCGAAATGCTGATGGATTCAACAAAATATGATGCTACTGTGGACATTTGGTCAGTCGGTAAGTGTACAGTCAATGAGTATACCAAGAAACAACTATACATATCAATATAATATCATATACATTGTACATGGATATTGTATGTTATTTTATAGGTATTTTGTTCACGGAATTAGTCAACAAGATGCCTCTTGTTGCTGAAGACACAATCGCCAGTCAATTGTATGGCATTACAAAAATACTGGGAAGTGACAACTGTGACTTGATAGTTGTAGACAAGTACTTACGTAAACACGGTTATAGCCTCAATTTAGAGGCTAATTGTGCACCATTGTCTCAATCTTATACTGCCTCGAAAACCGCCATGGCACTTCGAAAAGTGTATGCCTGTTGGCCGATATACTTGGTGGAAATAGTGGCATATTGTCTGCAGTTTAACCCAATTAACCGCAAGAACGCTGCACAGTTACTGGACATGAAGTTTTTCACTGCCGGAACGTTCTTGTCCCGCTTTAATAAGGAGATGAAAATCAAACTGAAATACGACAATGCAAGATACCAATGAACGAAATAACCATTTACCACGAGACATTGCAAGAGTCTACTATATAACAACAACATTATTCAACAAGTCTCCATTTAGTAGGCTGTGTACACTCAATGTTGTCCCCACAAAAGCTATTGAAAGTAGTTTCTATTGGCAATCCAAAAATTTCTCTCTCCTCTTGAATTCGGAATGAAAACGTGGATTTGGATGTTCCAATGAAATAGCTAAAAATAATAAAATGATTTTAAAGGTTTTGTAACTAAGTCTTAAAATAACAAAAATAAGAAACTCACTTTGCTTGTGAACATATTATTTGATCAATTATTGCTACCCCACCATCTAAAAAATTGTTCAAGGTTTTCTTATCAGCTTCAAATTTAAACATTTGATAAGGTTGTAAATAATTTTTAAGTTCTTCAACTTCTAAAACAAAAAATTATATTCAAGTGTCATTCAGTTTAATTATAACTAAATCAAGTATTTATTTTCAAATATTTGCCTGTTTTTGAAGTATCAGTAGCTACAAAAACTGTTTTAATATTCAACAAAATTAATTTCTCTTTAATCTGTCTAGCTGTATCATTTATACTGGGTACATCACTAGGATGGCCGTATAAAAAATCTCTGCGACGCAAGTGTGCACACAAGTAATCTTGTTTTAAATTTCTATTCTTAAACTCCTTAGCAATTTCATGCAGGTTTTTGCTGAATTGCATACTTTTTCTAATCATCCAATACTCTTGCCCACCATAATAATTGTGCAAGGCCAACTCCGCATGGTCAAATATAATAGTTCTAATATTAAAAACAAACAAAACACTTTTAATTAATCATAGAAATTATATAAAACAATTAAACCATAACCAAAATTAATTTGAAAAAATTACAATATGCACTACTACAAACATTTGACGTATCTTTTCTGTATGACCAACACGGTATGAGACAAAAATAATTTCACAATAAATAAAACCACCAATTAGTATTTACCAATTAAAACTGAGTTTTTTACTCACCAGGTATTCTTAGAACATTGTGTCTAGTAAGTATTAAAGGTACTGGTTTTAAACTAGAAAACTTATTTGGAAATTTATATATTTTATTTATATTTTTTTTTAAAATAAGTTTAAAAAAAATAATAATAATTAACTTAATAAATTGTTAAAAAGTGTTCTACGATGTAGAAAGTATGTATGAAGTATCATAGACATAACTTAAATGGTTTAACTTAACAAGTTTATTATTAGTTAATTTGATTTGTGTACTGACACATAATAAACAAATTGATATGGGTTATATTATAATATTGTATTAAATTATTGAATCTATTACCTTGGTTGTAACTCCTGAACAATGTCAGCTAGTAGAGTGGAAATTCCTTGGAATGATATACATAATGATTTGGTAAATGTAAGGTTGTTCAGGTTCCAAAATTCTTTTTGGACTCGATCTTTGCAATTGGCTACTTCCCATTTGTCTGAAAAGTCTGGGTATTGTTCAAATGACTTCACATTAAAATCTTGTAACGTAACTTGGGCATCCAATGGTCTTAATCCATTCACTAAAATGTTAAATGTTATAAGGTATCAATATTATGGTAAATTGTGATCAGAGTTTAGGACTTGTTGCATTTTTATTTTAGGTAAATACATTTTTATTATTATTTTTTTTTATTTTATTACTGTTGGGAGTCAACAATTAATGTAGGTATAGTACGAGTCATACCATAGTGATTTTTAATTTTAATTTTGAGAAATTAAGGTATGTGCAGATAGTCAATATTTAGTTACTCAACATCAACAGTAAGATAAAGAAATTGTTAAAACTTAAATTTTAATACATCAATATTTTTTAGTTATTTAAAAAAAAAATAGGTACCTAGTTGCATATTTAAATTATTTTAAAGTACATATTTTTAATCATTTTGTTGCTAGAAGTCCTAAACCCTAATTATAAAATATTTAAAAATGTAATATACTTTGGAAAAATTCATGTAATTCAACAACTGGAGTACTTTTTTTAATGGAATCCACGTTAAAAAATAGACTCCATGGAAGACAGTCCTGCACAAGATTTGATGATCTCCAATGATACAAGCGATGCCATGGTGGCAACACCTACAAAAGCATTTAAACGAAATATAGTTATATCTATAGGAATTAAAGTAAATAATGTTTACCAAAATCCATTGATAATCAGACACCTTATTCATATGATGTATAAAAGATGCCATTCGTATGAACACATCACGGCGTAAATTAAATCCTTCGGGTTTGTTGACATCATACAAAACGTATCTAAACAAAATCAAGTAGGTAGCTATTATTATATTACACAAATATTTATATTAAGAACTGTTTAAAATAGTATACCTAGGTAATTTAAATAATATAATATAATTATTATATTTTAAAACCAGCTTTCTAAACAGTGTTTCTTACCAACACCACAGATCATTTAGGGAAAATGTGTAGATAACATCCATCACATTTCTGAATTTAGAAGTTTATAACGAGAGAAAAATATCTTAACTTTGGACCTAACTCGACGAGAGCTGAAATAAATGTTCTCGATATCTACCTATTGTAATTAATGATGATGATACTCAAGTCCAACTAACCGAGGCAATGTGTCGAGTATGGAATGACCGGCCAACGTTTCTTCTTCATCCAACAGTCTGTTGTCAACGGCACACTTTGAACACCTGAACTGAATAGCAGTCAACAATACCAACGCGTACCAACGCCCAGTGTCCAGATGCATATTTCGGAGATTTTTAAATTTTAAACTTAACATTCATCACGCGACTCTGTACGGAATGCGGACATTACAGCATTGCCTCTAAATTCCGCCACACGGTCGACGGTCGTCCGACACAATTTTACAGCATACAAATCAACAGGCTTCTAGTCTCTGCAATGTTATAGGTACTTGGCAATGTGCAATTCGTTTCGTCGTCGATCTTAGAGAGTGAAGAGACCACCGTCTAGACCAGCGGCCACCACGCCGCTGCCGCCTCGGTTACAAAAAAAATTAAAATAATAATAATGTGATTATATTATCACTGTATCACACGGCATTTTCGTCGAGACCATAAATGTAAATTATCAGGGGTACGATCACTCACTCACGGGTCAGTGGTCACAGACTCACAGCAATAAATGCTATAGCCAACCTACCGATTCCGACCCGCCAAGCTAATTGATGTTTCCAAAATATATTTAATAATATAAATTACTAAAAACAATTATCATAAATCTTTAATTTCATTACCACTCTATCCCTATCTAAAAAAATTTGGCCCGTCGTAAAAAATGGTTAGACACCCCTGCAGTATAATAGCCTAAAGCCGTTGTTTAGTTGTTGTTGTTCGGTGAAAAGTAGAATGGAGTATTGGAGTGTGGACATTGAATTAACTAATTGAAACACCAATTGTATACTGGTATGGCCTTGAATTCGTGGATTGGTCATAACTCATTGTAGACTATAGTCACAGTCCACTGAACAAATAAGTAAATAACAATAATAGTAGCGAATACTATTATAATATAATAATCAAGTATAATATATTCAATATTATATTTAATAATAATTATTGTAATAATAATAGTAGGACAGTTGTAGGTATACAGTAAGTTGTATACTATGGAATAATCCAAGACCGAGCCATGGACAAAATGAAATATTGGAACCGTGTTTTGATGTTTACATTAATCAGCTGACTGGCATATTATCACAGACTATATTATTATTATTCTCATATCAGACGTAAGTACGTAACCATTTTGGCAATTTGGCATTTTCATGTATTGCAGTCTGTAGTGAAATCAGTCTACACTTGACACAAATTTCTATATAATATTTAAATAAATAATAGTTATTATTACTTAATATAATATTATTTCTTCTATATTATAATTTATAGCATAGAATTATGTGATTGTCAACGTAAACTAGCTAAACAAATTTTTATACGAAAATGGTAGCCTGTACCATAAAAAAAATCAAAGTAATTATTTGAACAACAACAATATTATGTACTGTAGTTTTTAAATTTCATTGAGTGTAGTCTTTGCAAAATATGTCTTTCAAATAGACTTTTCAACTTTGCATTGTACTGTAGTTGGATTCAGTAGTATGAACATTTTAATGTTCAGCTGTGGCCCAGACTGCACGTCATCAGTTGTTTGACAACAAAAATTGTATCAGAAATGTTTTGCGCCAATGGCTTTAGGAAGCTGTGTGTTCAAACGCGCAGCTTGCACTTGCACCCGTATGGAAAATGTAAGCGATTTTCGTACACCTGTCGCATGCCTGCCACCGTCCATTGGTACCGGTCTCCACTTGTGGTCAATGGTGGAACTAGTCATCTGCAGTCATGCAAAAAGTATTTCAGGTATACTTGGAGGAACACTATGAAATTATTTCATATTCTAAATGGAAACATTTTTGTTTTAATTCAGTGTTTCAACTGCCAACCGCCTTCCATTCCCTCCAATAGCAGCAATAGTGTTGCGTCCAGTTGCCAAGTTTTTTGCTATGATGTTAGGAATACGAATACGCCGCTGGTGGACAAAGCTGAGTGCAAAAGAGAAACAACAGTTCTGGTACAACGTACACAAACGTCGGAAGCAAATAACTGCTGCCATAGCTAGTGCCATTGGTTTGTTTCTCGTGTACTGTGCTGCTCACTTGGAGTTTGACCCAATAACTGGTAGACGTCGGTTAATTCTTTTTACACATCAACAAATGGAAGAGCTGGCAAATTCAATTGCCAAAGAATTGTTAAGTGAAAACCAACAAGCTGTGTTAGATACATCACATCCTCTTTACAAGCGAGCATTGTCCATAGCAATGCTGGTAATCAAAGCCAATAAGCCGTTTGACCTCTTAAAAAATCGAAAATGGTCTCTGGTAGTTGTCAACGATCCAAGAATTAACGCTATGGTTTTACCAAATGGCATGATAATAGTCTTCACAGGGTTACTATATGCAGCTAATGACCAGCAAGTAGGTGTTGTCTTGTCACATGAAATCGCTCATTGTTTTCTTGATCATCATGCAGTACGTTTGAGTAGAGAACATTTACTTGAAATGCTTTGGCTTATACCGCTGACCATAATGTGGGCTGTGTTTCCAATGCCAGAAGCTATTTTGTGTTACGTATTCGGTCATTATTTTAAAAGTATAGCAATGTTATTGCCCTATGAACGTGACCAAGAAATCGAGGCTGACAAGTATGGCTTGATGCTAGCAGCCAATGCGTGTATTGATGTTCGTCAGGCGCCAATTTTCTGGAAGCGAATGGAAAGGCTTGATCCAAATAATAACGAAACATGGTGGTTGTCCACACATCCGACTCACAAGAAACGTGTCAAATATATTGAAGACCTTTTACCATATGCGTTACAATTAAGGCAACAAAATGGATGTCCGTCCTTAGATAGAAGTTACTGGTCAAGATTCTCATTGTTTTAACAATTGAGAATTTTTCTCCAAAAATTATAAATTGCTTATAATAATAATGTGGTGCTTTTTATTGTATAAATTGAAAAACTCAATGTTGTCATGAATTATGATCTTAGTATTCTGATTATTGATTTGTATTCATAATTTAAACTAATGTTACCATAATTTACTTTTGTTTTGTATTTAATAATGACCTGGTTCTGTGCAGGGGTAGATTAGTGATATTTTTCACCCCACTAAATATAAATCTAAGCAGAACACAGTAACCTTTTTTTCTTTTTTTGTAAAAAAAAATGTTCTCTGTAGAATTGTGTTGTTTGTTATCAACAAATGTTTTACATCCTCCTATGCTTAAAATATTTATAACAATATACCTATTCAAACAATAATTATACTTCAGTGGACTATGATGATTAAATTAATATTTTGCTTGCCTATATTAAATATTTAAAATGTATAACAACAACTATTAAATTTAACATATTTTTTTATGTAGATACATTATAGAAAAAATTAACTTTAATCAAAAATCATCCTTTTAAATAAGAAATGTATAAATGTATAATATAGTAGTAGGTAATTCAAGGAAGAGTTATTCGTATTATAAAATTATTATACACTCCTAGTGAAAAAAATCTGTCTATAACTGTGATACCTACTCTTGTGCACACATTTTGAGATATCTACATTTTTATTATACCTAAATCTTAATTATTTTTGTAATAGAAGAATTAAACAATTGTTTTGCTACTTCCTACATGCTAGAACAATTAATATTAATATTATAGTTATTGTACTTGAGGTGAACATACAAATGTACCTATACCCAACTGAGATATGAGTGTTGCCAGTGGCGTACATACGGGGGGGTTTTCGGGTTCAAACCCCCCCCAGGACCAAAAAAAAAATAAAAAAATAATGTGATATTATTGATGAATTTCTTATTATTAATCAACCGTGTATACACAAATATACGTCATAATAATATGACTATTGAGTAAACACTAAACACTATAGGTACTTAAACAACAACGAAAAAAGATTTCATAACGAAATCATGGGTGCCGTATAATATGGTATATCAATCAAAATAGACATTATTTTGATCGTACACAGTCAGTTAGTTGCGTGCGGATATAAATACATATTAATATTGTCTTTATCTCGATCGACTCATTATAAACACACAAGACTGGGCGAGTTAAGTTTTGTTTTTTTTTAACTCAGTTAAGTTAATATGCATACACATATAGATATAGTATATATTGTATTTTTAAGTACAGAAGTTACCTATCACATAAGTAATAAGTAATAAATAATAATAAATAAGTATTATATATTTTAGTTGTCTTTCAAACAGATATTATTTGTGTACGATGAGTAGGTATTTTTAATTTTAATGTTTTAACTATCAACGTGAATACTGTTCATAATAATTTTTAATAATAATTAATAATCTCACAAAACCGTAAAATCATAAAATCAATAGGTAATTGATTTATATATTTTTGTTTATTTTTAGATTTTAGTGTCGGCAAACTATATCATAATATTATATCTATATTATTGAAATTTTGACATGGCAACAAAATAGACTTAAATAATGAAATGTAAAAAAATGAAAAACAAAATAAATTAACTTACAAATAAAAAATTAATTCGTTAATTTAACGTTGATTAAAAAATAAATTTAGTAAATTAGTAGTTAAGTCAAAAATTATTATTATCACATCATAATCATTATCATTCGATTTCGATATATTTTAGGTTTTTAAGGTAAAATAATTAATAAATAGTAATCATGGCTGAAAAAAAAACAATCGAAACTGCAATCTTTTTTTTCGAAACCACCCTCAATAATGAATTCATTGTCAAATTCATTGAATACAACAGTTATAAGTTCCTCTAGTTCCTCATTACCATCAACTGCATCTGCATCTGATACACCTATCACTCAGTTTACACCTTCGACTACAGATATTAATCGTACATCTTCCAGTTATAATATTTTTGACATTGCACATTACACAAATACATTTTTAACGCAAAGTGAAATAGAAGAAATTTTGAGCAAAATTTGGGTCCCTGATATTAATTACAATTTTCCTATCAAAATATCAGTAGTCGGTAAGCAACAAAAAGTTTTGAGGTTGAAATTTCAATATAAATGGCTAATTAACTTTCCCTGGTTGGCCTATTTAGAAGTAAACAATTGTGCGTATTGCAAATATTGTGTTTCTTTTACTAAAAATGAAGCCGGTATTAATAACCAAAAATTGGGAGCATTTGTATTAAAAAAAATATGATGATTGGAAACATGCATTGGAAGACTTTAAAAATCATTCGAATTTAAAATATCACAATCAATAGAATTTTTATTATAAATAATTAATAATATAATATTTATAATATTCTGTACTTACTATGTGAATATTAAATAATATTTAAATACCATGAGTTACGTAAACCTTTGTATTTGTTTTGCTATTTTGCCTATTAATATTTATACGTGTAATGTGTTTGATTGTTAGGAAAATGGGTAGTTGCAAAGAGAAGGTTTTAGTGCTGGTTATTTTTTTTAAACCTCCCCCAGAGCAAATTTGAATGTACGCCACTGAGTGTTGCAATTAGGTAGCAGGTATGTCTTTGTATTTCTATTTGGCTATAGATGATAGCATAAGTAACATAACAGGGTAAAATATATAACAATATATTAAGAGCCTTGTATTACATTTTCAAGCTTTGACATCCATACCAAAAAAAACTAAAAAAAAGGTGCTCTGCTGTACAGTAGGTTACAAGTGGGTCACTGTATAATGGATGGTATTAAATTTGAATTCAATGATATAATATCATTGTATAAGAAAAACGATTCTGAGCGGAAACGGCATGTCTGTCTAGGTATAAGATATATTATATACTTATCTATAATATTAAAAAAAATTGTGCCTATGTATTTTAAGTATTTTTCAACTAATATTGTAACAATATATCAGGAGCCTTGTATTAAATTTTTACCCTTTTTGGACCAATAGATAAAACTTTATTGATATTCATAGAAAAAAAAATAGAAATATGAAATTGTCAGTAAACAGCTCAAAACAAGTCAAAATATTTTGAAAATGTTATCAAGTATAAGAATTGATAAAATAAACATTCAGTGACATTTTCAAGTATCTACAGTCATTCGTTTTTTAATTACGACAAAATAAGAAAATCGTTACCTACATGATAAATCGAGTGAATATCAAATGTTGTAGAAATATGAATTTCAATCGTTCATAAAAATTTAATTTGACTTTCTCGTAGACATTTTTTTGTTGATAAAGGTAGACAAACGTATGAGGAATCTTGTATTACATTTTCAAATCTTAAATTTAAAAAGAAAATTTTTTATGAATTTCTAACTAAAAATAATTTGCAAGATTTCGTGTTTTTTCCGTATTTTGTCAATATTTGAACTTTAAATGCTTATAAAAAAAACTGTTCTAAGGATTTTTAATATTTTTCAAACGTAATTTTAACAACATAATAGGAACTTTGTATTAAATTTTCAAGCTTTTTTACCTAATAAATAAAGTTTTATTGACATTTATAGAAAAAAAACCTAAAAACGTTCGAAACTGAGTATACCGTAAACAGCTCAAAACAAATCAACATTTTTTTTCATATATATAAAAAGCTAATATAAACATTCAGTGAAAATTTCATGTATTTACGATCATTTGTTTTAGAGTTGCACCAATAGCCAAAATCAATCTTGTCAAAAACCGATTTTGCAAAAAATTCCCGTTTTTCCTTATTTTTTATGCTGTTTTTCCCGGCGCTTGTGAAAACTATTTGGAATTTTAAAATTTTACCCTGAACGCACCAACTAGATTCACTTTCCCACCATCGAACAAGATACTGTTGAAGAAAATCGAAGCAGTTTTACTGCCCTAAACCGTGATGACAGACACAAAAATAAAAATATAAAAACACACATCATTGTAAAATCAATACATTCATCGTCCCACTCTGGATCTAAAATTGGAAACTGAAAACTGTCCGTAACTTTCCATTACCTAGGACCATAGGCGGAAATCGGGGGGGGGGACTAAGCCCCCTCAGAATTTTAAAGTACAGGTCTTACTCGTCTTAGCCCCCCCTGGCCCTCACAATTTTAATGTGACTAAATATATAAAAATATATAATAATTACCTAGTATAATTAGTTAAATTAATTTAATAACTTAATAATAAAATAAATTTAATGCTATTTTTGTTTAGAATAAAATGTTCTAGTAAATGTTCAAGGTACCTATGGCACATATTATTGTTTTTGTACTTTATTAAGGTTAAATTGTTTAGTATGTCAAACTTTGTAAATTGTCTTGTTGAAATAAATAATTGCGAGCGACTCTAGTACAATAGTGCCTATATACTGCAGGGCCTAAAATTGTGTGCAGTAGCACACACTATGTGCAGTAGCTAATATTAAATGTGCAGTAGCAAATTTAAAAGTGTGCAGTACTCATTTTTGGTTTTATACATTTTTATTTGAGTAATATTCAATATTGATTATTGAAAATTGGTAATTAGCATAATATTGTATTCGTTTAAAATCCTTAACACTAAAAATAATACCTACTACATCATATTCTGGGCGGCTTATAATATAATAATTATATTAACCTAAGCTATTTCGTTTTTAATTTTAAAATGTTCAGTCATATAGCCAATAGCCATATAGGTATCAAGGAATTATATAGAAGATTGTTTTAGATTGTATTTATTATAACTAATTATTAATGAATAACAAAAACAATTATGCAATGAAGTTACATGTGGCATGTGGCATGTGCACTACTAGGTGCATTATATTAGAATATTTTGGTGTGGATTAAGGTGTGCAGTAGCAAAATATCTTAAATTTAGGCCCTGCTATATAGGTACAATGAGAAATATAATGCTCAGCCCCCCCAGTAATTTCACCAAATTTCCGCCTATGCCTAGGACATTAGTTAATAG